AGTAATTATGGAATTCTATAAATATACATAAAGAAAAACAAAGAAAATGTCTTAACCAAGTAAGTTAGAAATAACTGTGGCTCTCATTACTATTTTGTCTAGTGAAATGAAATGATTTCTTTGTTAAAAGGAAAACGAGTTGGAGTCTCCACACATTTATAAATATGAAAGTTTAAGGGCTTCAGGAGTATAAAATTTATATAAGAAGTACAAAGATAAAGCAGTAATGCACTGTGAATTTCAATACCGGATAAAGGGTTATATTATCTGTTTCTACCTTAAATAGCATTGCATTAAGGTTCTACATTAAGTTCTTAAACTCTCCATATCCATGAAGATATACACAGGTTGCCTGCATACCTCTTTTACACCCCTCTTGTACCATTCCCCAGATGAGCTGAATTGCTTTTGTTTCTCTGGTTGTGGTCTCTGGTGTTTTAAAGTAGGTCTTTTTGAAGGATCAATATACCATGGCACTGAAGAAATATACTGAGGAATATGGGGGTTGATGTCTCTGTAATCAAATTAAAAACAAATTTTAAGAATAAAGTTGGAAAATAATCAGTATTATAGTTACGAAGGTAGTTTATACAAAATCTAAGAATAGAAATATTGTAGTGGGGGGAAGAGCATATGGTTGCTATCTCTATACTATAATAAAGAATAATTAAAAATGAAGAAATAATTTTATAGTGAAAATATTTCCAACTTAGAAACTAAGAATAGTGATATAACTGCAGGGGGAGAAAAAAGAAAATAGAGATGTGTGTTAGTAATCTAAATCTTCTGTCACAAGAAGCTTTGGTTCAAATAATGTTTATAGTTAGTTAAGATAACTGGGTAGGTATTATTATTTAGAGATGTGAAGGTAACAACCAGAAAAACTCAAACTAGAAAGATTTAACAGCAGTCACTTCTGTAGAGCAGGTCAGGGATGGGAAGGGTGAAAACGGACTGTTGCTATTCATTATAAGCCCTTCAACATAATTTCATTATTAAATCATATGCACGAGTTTTATAAATAATAAAAACAAAAATGACATACATGATGAAGATAGGTTCCTCTCAAACAAAAGGATGAAAAATTAATAAACTAAGTGGACATGAATTTGAATTTTGAATGAACAGATCATACAAAAAATTAAGTACTTACTTTCCTTCTTCATCAACTTCTGCAGGAGCATTACCCAATTTTCGCTGTTCTTCTAGCTCCTTCTTCTTTCTCCAGTCCTCTCTGGTCATCTTCTTTGGTTCTTCCAAACTCATTTCTTTGGACCCCGCTAGGGGCGCAGCATTAACTGCATCTACAACTGTGGCTGACATGGTTACCTGGCCTCCTCTAAGAAAAGAAGTCAAATTTACAGTAAAAAGTATGCCTACATGAGTTCACTCAAACTACTAAAAATACATCCTAATAATATAGACTGTTTCGTATGTTCTTTTTTTCCCCCATAGTATGTGTAAGGAAGGGTCTCTTTTCCCTCCTCAAGGTCTCTATATACTGTTAGCACTGTTTCTCCAACACCTCCAATTTACAGATGGAGAGAGATACATATGTGTATTTAAAATTTCACAGGACTCTTTTTCTCATATATATCCTGAATCCCTTGGTCTCAAACTTTTCTAACACAGTAACTCCGAACGAGAAAAAAGAGTGTCCTATCTTTGTACCCCTTTAAGAAAGAACATCTCAAGTGTTACCTATATTCAGTCTCCATTTCCTCATCTTCTACTTTCATCCTCACTCAAACTTAGCCCCCCACTCCCAAATATTCTAAAGAAAAGAGTTACATTAAGTCATTAAGGACCATTGTGCTAAATCCAATGGACATTTTTCAGTTCTGTTCCTTCCCTTTTTACATATTATTTCTTGACTTCCCTGACACTACATTCTCTTGGTTTTTCTTTTCTTTTTTTTTTTTTTGGAGACAGAGTCTCACTCTGTCACCCAGGCTAGAGTGCAATGGCGTGATCTCGGCTCACTGCAACCTCCACCTCCCAGGTTCAAGCAATTCTTCTGCCTCAGGCTCCTGAGTAGCTGGGATTACAAGTGCCCAACACCACACCTGGCTAATTTTTTTTTCGTATTTTTTGTAGTGACGGAGTTTCACTGTGTTGGCCAGGCTGGTCTCAACTCCTGACCTCAGGCAATCTGCCCACCTTGACCTCCCAAAGTGGTGGGACTACAGGCGTGAGCCAACGTGCCAGGCCCTCTTGGTTTTTCTTGTACCTCTCTTGTCATCAAATTTTGCCCAGTTATTTAATGTTGGATTCCTCAAGGCTCAGTCAGCAACTTTTAAACCACTCTAAACTCCCACTAATGGACAAGCTCATTTACTTCTAAGGTTTCAATGGTCACAATACACCACTGTTGGCTCTCCGACTAATTTTTCTATAAAACAAAAAATAATAAAGGAACAATTTACTTTTCTATTCAAGACTTTTCATCTGAGCTTCAGATATATATATCCAATTGCTTACCTGACATCTCCACTTAGAGGTCAGACACCTTTAAATTCAATACAACTTAATTCAATCTCATGACCTTCCTTTTGAAATCTAATCTTCTACTGTTCTCCCTATCTTAATGAAAGACAACACCATCCGTCCCTTTACATTAAGTGCTTCAGCTTATTCCTACATCTATTTAATCACTAAGAACCGTTATTTTCACTTTTTGAATATCATTCAAATGCATCTAGTTCTTTCCATTCTTACTGCTACCACCCTAGTGTAAGTTATTACTTTTTCCTACTTACTGGTATCCTCTGATTTCCTCCAATCAATTCTCCACATTGCAGACAGTATTAATTTTTCAAAACACAAATCTGATCATATCATGTCTATTACGGTTTGGCTCTGTGTCCCCACCCAAATCTCATCTTGAATTATACTCCCATAATTCCCAAGTGTTGTGGGACCGTCCCGGTGAGAGATAATTGAATCACAACAGCAGTTCTGCCCATACTGTTCTTCTGGTAGTGAATGAGTTTCACGAGCTCTGACGGTTTGATAAAAGGAAACCCATTTTTATTGGCTCTCATTCTCTCTTGCTGTCCCCATGTTAGAAGTGCCTTTCACCATGATTGTGAGGCCTCCCCAGTCACGTGGAACTCTAAGTCCAACAAACTTCTTTCTTTTGTAAATTGCCCAGTCTCGGGTACGTCTTCATTGGCAACATGAAAATGGACTAATACAATGTCCTACTGCCCAAGCTTAAATCCTCCAATGCAGTACCATCCAAAAAGTCAATACAGCACCATTTAAAAGAAATACAATGCTAGTCCCATATGTGATTTTATGTTTTCCAGTAGTCACATTAAAAAAGTAAAAAGAAATAGGTAACGTTACTTTTACAAGATTTTATTTAACCTAATATACAACATGTTATAATTGCAAATTTGAATTAGAAAAAATTCTGTCTTTAAAAGTTGATATGGGTTTTACACTTATTTGGACTAGCCACATTTCCAGTCTCAATAACCACAAGTGGCTAATAACTATCATAATGAATAGTGACAACTGGGCATGGTGGCTCACACCTGTAATCCCAGCACTTTGGGGGGCCGAGCGGGGTGGATTACCTGAGGTCAGGAGTTTGAGACCAGCCTGAACAAAATGGTAAAACCCTGTCTCTACTAAAAATACAAAAATTAGCCGGGCGTCGTGGCACGCGTCTGTAATCCCAGCTACTCAGGGGGCTGGGACCGGAGAATCACTTGAACCCAGGAGGTGGAGGTTGCAGTGAACTGAGATCGCATCATTGCACTCCAGCCTGGGCGATAGACCAAGACTACATCTTAAAAAAAAAAAAAGTGACACTCCAAAGGATTTTATCATTTTTACTCTAAAAACTGACGTCTTTTTAACACACCTACATGGTCCACCACGGTCTGGCACCTGCCTACTTTCCGGCCTCACCATGACAATTATCCCCGCTTCCTTCTCTACCAACTATCTAGACCTTCTTGTAGTTCCTTTAACACACCATACTCCCTGTAGACACTGGGCCTTTACACAAGCCCTTTCCCAATGGAAAGTGCTCAATGCCAGGGGTTCTACAATGCTTCTCAAAGGTGTTTTCTTCTGTGTCTGACTTATAGAAAACCTCCACATATACTTGTGTAACATATGAACTGATGGCCTAACTATACTGTGAAGAGAGGCAGAACAATGGTAAATTTAATAACCTTCATTAAAACAGCTACCACTTACTGAGCCTACTGTGCATCACCTCATCTAATCTTCACAACAAACCCAGTAGATAAGTCTGAACCCCATTTTACAGTGAAGAAACAGGTTCTGAGAGGTAAGATCCTCAGCCAAGGACACACTGTAGGAAGAACCAAAGACTTCAAACACAACTCTGACGCCAAAGTCAGTTCTCCAAACTGGCTTCTGGGTCTGAAATATTAAAAACTAAGACTGAATAAAGTATTTTAGTCACTAAGTTGTACTCACTAGTTTCTGTCGCTGTGGAGTGGCTTATTTTCTCCAACTAATAACAGTAACTGCTCCCACTTACTGAGGGCTTACCGTAAGACACTATTTAACGCTTTATTTATATAGATGTTTTCATTTTACCCTCATGATACTTTACTAAAGTCAGATCATCCCGACTTAGGAAAAACTGAAGCTCAAGGAAATTTTTCTGGCGAGGAAATAGTCTGTAAATTTGAGTACTGGAAGCAGCTTTCCTCGCCGGCAGTCAGGGGACCGCTCAAGGTCTCCGAGGCTTACTTAAAACCAGCCACAAAGGCGACACTCTCATAGCTATCCCGACTGTTCCCATGAAGACGCAGGCCTGGTCCGGCTGGGCACGAGTGCCATGAATGCGTCTCAGGACAGCGGCTTCCTTCTCGGTCCCCGGGCCTTGCTCCATCCACACCTGGGGGCTCATCACCCCCGTGAGGACAGATCCAGTAATTAAAAGCCTTCGACCCATTTTCTCTGGTTCCTCAATTGCCCTTCGCCTGCAAGTTCTAGGAACATTTTCTTACCCAGTCCCACAGAAGCCGACCTCAAGTCCATCCGACAGAAGCTCGGGTAATCTCGTAATGTTTACTTCCGGCTTTCATCCTTATTCCGGCAGCCACTGAGACAACTTCCGGATGAAGGGCACATGCGCACTAATTTCCCGGAGGGGCGGGGAGCCTCCGGTGCTCTGGCGTCGATCTGGCGTGTGCGTATCGCGCTTTTTACCCGGATTGTGGAGAGATTCAAGTTGGGCAGTTTGTTTTTGGCTTCTATTTGGGAACTTCCGTTTCTTTTAGACTCGAAGAATTTTAGGAAGTTTTTTAAAAAAAAAAACCCAGAACAGACAACAGCTTAAGCCTCACTAGGGGACTATGAAATGAATGGGGAAGTTGGTGACGTATCAGCTACAAAAAAGAAAAAAAAAAAGAAAAAAAAAACCCAGTTAAAATTGGTACTAATTAGTAGCCAGGCTGTGTAACATGCTGGGGATTTAGTGAACAATGTCTTTCCTCAAATTTACATCAGAGTGCGAAAGACACCGAAACAGCTATTCAGATAATTTAGCAGTTGGGAAACGTTGCTATGAAAGGAATACCAGGTGTTGTGAGAACATAAGGCATGTTATCATTAGAAAAAAATACGACGATTTCCATTTTGGAGAAACATTAGTATCTATGCTATCCCATCCCTCCTTTAAAAGTATACATGTGAAATAAAATACTGGAAAATAAACTAATATTGGTGGTAGAATTTCTTGTAATTTTTTTTTTTTAATTTGTGCTGTCTATTCTGGTTGTTCTCTGCCTCTCCCTTCATAACGTGTGTCCTTTTTGAATGTAAAAGTTAAAATAGCGACTATCCGTGCCTCAATAAAATAGCTCAACATAATATAATCTATTTTTTTGTACTAAGAATTTGCAGGCTAGGCGCGGTGGCTCACGCCTGTAATCCCAGCACTCTGGGAGGCCGAGGTGGGTGGATTACCTGAGGTCCAGAGTTCAAACCAGCCTGGCCAACATAGTGAAACCCCGTCTCTACTAAAAATACAAAAATTAACTGGGCGGGTTGGTGCACGCCTGTAGTCCCACCTACTTGGGAGGCTGAGACAGGAGAATGGCTTGAATCCGGGAGGCGGAGATTGCAGTGACCTGAGATCACGCCGTAGTAAGTACTCCAGCCTGGGCAACAAAGCAAGATTCCAGCAACAACAACAACAACAACAACAACAGCAACAACAACAAAAGAATTTGCAATACCTGGAGTTTAGGAACATAAATGTTAATTTTGCGGCCGGGCGCAGTGGCTCACGCCTGTAATCCCAGCACTTTGGGAGGCCAAGGTGGGCGGATCACGAGATCAGGAGATCGAGACCATCGTGGCCAGCAGGGTGAAACTCCGTTTCTACTAAACATACAAAAATTAGCTGTATGTGGTAGTGTGCGCCTGTAATCCCAGCTACGGGGATGCCGAGCCAGGAGAATCACTTGAACCTGGGAGGCGGAGATTGCACTCCAGCCCAGCACAGAGCAGGGCTCCGCTTCAAAAAAAAAATGTTAATTTTGCTTTTACAAGGCAGTAGATGAAGAAATAGAGTCAGAGACTAGCGTAACATGCTGGAGCTTTGGTGAACATAGTGTCTTTCCTCAAATTTACATCAGAGTGTGAAAGACACCAAAACAACTATTCAGATAATTTAGCAGTTGTAAAAAGTTGCCATGAAAGAAATACCAGGTGCTGTGAGAACATAAGGCAGTAGAGTCAATGAATCACTCAGGCTTTGCTTTTTTCCACTTAAAAACATTCCTGAAATTTGCTTAGGAGTGTTAAGGCCTAATTAGCGAAAGCCACCAGGAGAGCACATCTTGATGAGGAATCAGAATGCTCAGGACAAGAGAGTTCAATCTTTTCTAAGACTTGAGGTCCCTCTGGAGGGTTCTAAGGAAGGTCTAGGAAAGCGGGGATTGGTTCTGGAGGGGTTGCTGTTTGTAAAGCAGGATTAGGAGAAACTGATTAGGGACTAAGTGCTGTTATGAGTGAGGGTGGGTTAGCAATTGAGTATCTCCAGTAATAGAAATAGCAAAGCTGGTCTGGGGGCATCATTTGTAAGAAATAGTTGTTATTCAAAGAGAGGGTGGTTATAGTTTACAGCTGTTGCATGACCTTGGGAGAAACAATGCTTTCTGCTGGTGAAAATAGAAGACACTGTAAGGAGATAAACCTTGCACCCCAAAACCTTTGTAGATAGAAAATCTCCACTTGGAAGCTATAGGTGTTGTACAGATTTAGTCACAAAAACTTACACTTTGAGTGCTGATAATATGATGATGTAAAATTTAGGAGATACAGGAGGAAATAAGGGATGGGGATAAAGAAAAGAGGACAGTGAAGGGACAATAAAGGTATGCATATTTTTCTGTCTTTCCTCTTTTCTTCACTTAGGTTAGGCTCTTTTCATCTTCATACCTAGTATAATTGTCCAGCATTTAATAGGTATTGAATAAATATTTGTGAATGAATGAATGAATGAATGAATTATTCAATCAATTTTGGTCCTGAAATGCCAGGGAAGAAGAGGTGATGAACTGGCATATATTGAGAACCATGTCTATGTCAGGTATAGTGTTAAACCTTTTGTGAAAGAGTAATATGGAATCAACTCCTCTCTCAGCTGATCTGCAGGTTAAAATGTATATATGGTGACCTGTGGGAAGCAGAGGTTGAATGACACAGGTCAGCCTTGATCTTTTGAATTTGTACCTTTATCTTGCAGTTGTTCAATATATTCCAATTTACTATAAAAACAGGAAAAGGTCATCAACTTTTTCAAGCTAAATTTATTTTCATATCTGGGAAACTGGAATTCCTTTTTTATTTCTTTATTATCTCTCTGATGTTCTCTTGCTCCCTGGCCAAGCCCTTCCAGGCAGCTTTGGAATATATTCCTGAGATGTTAGAGGTTTAAATAAATCACTATTAAATGATAGGATTTTAAGGGAAGACTAAATTATGTATTCATTAGAATCATCATTTTGTTCCTAAGACAGATTTGTGATTGTATAATAGAAACAGCATCTTAGCCTCAAGTATTGAGGACAGTCCTAAGATTAGGGAATGATCAGTCTGTTCTTAATCATAAGCATAACAGAATGACTCAAACGCTGCTGTTTGATCTCTCTGTACTTACATTTCTTCTTAATTTTAAATTCTTCTCTGCTAGTATTCTTTAGACCCAACACTGGTTGTTCCCCCATTTCCAAAAGTAATTCTATTTATTTTCCATCCTTCCTACAGTGCCATTTAAATAAAAATATCTTAAGGCAATAAAACATTGTTATTGAGCCAGTACCTCAGTCCATGCAGCTTAATAATATGGAGAGCAAAACAAAGCCACTCAGGTTTTTTAAAATATTACACGATCCTAGTTTTCCCCGCCCCCCACCGAAAACGTGCCGCAAAGCTTGCAGAAAAGCGCTTTTGGGGAGGAGCCCTGGCTGCTTAGGTCCCTCCATTGGTTCTGCTTGGTGACCACGCCCCCGGCCCCGCCTCCTGGGCGGAAGAACCAATTGGGCCGCGAGTTGTGGTTTAAACCGGGAGTGCGCGGCGTCCGTTCACTGCGATCTCAGAGGAAGGTGGCTGTTGAGAGCGGCGTGAGTGAGCCGGAGGGTCGCAGTTTTGTAGGGCGAACCGGGTCGGGGGGCGAAGGAGGTGGGCTGGGGCTGGGGCTGGGGGACTGCCCGGGGCGCAAATGGCTCCGAGCCCCCATGAGCGCGGTCTCGGACTGAGAACTGGACCTGCGGCAATTCTCCTCTGATGAATGCCAGCTCCAAACCGCCTGCTGCCTCAGGACCTTGGAACCTCTGACTCAGGCTGGAAGATTTAAGGGCTGGATGAAGTACTTGTTGACTGAAGCCCGTCATTGTATTGTCTCTCTGTTTAGCTCTCGTTTTTGTGTGAATATCCCTAGGATAGGAAGCTTGGACTGTTGCTGGACCTTAGCTTCTCGCACCTTCCCCAATATCTAATATGTATTTCTCATTTTTAGAATAATCCAGAATGGCTACTCTGATCTATGTTGATAAGGAAAATGGAGAAACAGGCACCCGTGTGGCTGCTAAGGATGGGCTGAAGCTGGGGTCTGGACCTTGTAAGTATGCAAGACTGCAGTCAGATACACTCATATTGTGGACGTGGCCTGGAGCTGGACGAGACAATTTAGTGTACTTTGTGGGCAATCAGAGTCAAGTTTGTTATTGGTCCTTTTTCATTTTCAATATCTTAATGAGATGATTTAAGAGTACTGAATCTCAGCTATTAGATGTATCATAGTCATGCCACTACCAAGAATGGGGGTTGGGTTTGGGGGTGAGAGGTCAAGTTTATATACACAGTATTCAAATTGCACAGGTATTTTGCTGCTGGAATATTCTTACAGTAAGACTTTTTCTTCAGCAGTCAAAGCTTTAAATGGGAGATCTCAACTTTCAACACCACGTTTTGGCAAAACGTTTGATGCTCCACCAGCCTTACCTAAAGCTACTAGAAAGGCTTTGGGAACTGTTAACAGAGCTACAGAAAAGTCAGTAAAGACCAATGGACCCCTCAATCAAAAACAGCCAAGCTTTTCTGCCAAAAAGGTGAGTGTTGGCTATAAAGACACTGTTTAAACACTTAAGCACTTTTGACTCTTAAAATGACCATTGGCGTCATCCTACCTAGCTTTTTTCCCTCTGGGTAGAAGGGAAGCAGAGGTTAGCAAACAGAGTAGTGGAGGAAACTCATTGTCCTTGTGGCTTCTTGGTACTTTGAGATAGGAAATCTCACGTGCAGCTAATGCATATTTTTGCCTCACCTGTTTTTAACTAGTGTCTTGAAACAGATTGGTTGTTGTTATCCACTTGAAGATACATACTGAGAGAAGAGGGTAGTTGAGGAGGTTCTGTTGCTGCTGTAATAGCACAGGTGCTGCCATTCTCCTGGCTTTCCAGAGCAAGCAGCAGCTTGTTAGGTGACAATTTGCTAGCATGTTGATTTTTGCGAGTGTGGGTCACAAGCTACAGGCCTGTGTATCCCAGACCCAGAGCACTTTGCTGTGAAAGATGAAGTTAGCATGTGGATTGACACTTTATTTGAAACACTTTTTCTTTTCCAGCACAAGCGACACAAAGTTTTTTTAAAAAATTTGCATTAGGAAACAACTAGTGAATTACATGTAGTGCAAACTAGGACGTCTTCTTTAAAAGTGAATTAAAAATATTAAATACAGGAATTGCAAAGATACAGGAAAAGCAATAAGACACAGTACTGAAGTGTGAGAACCCCATAGGGAGTTCTAGGCATGCATATGTGAGGTGTGATAAATCAGGAACATGCAGGCTTCCATTGTGGCACGCTTCTGTAGTAGACCTGTCAACTCCAGACTAGGGGATTGTCCATGGTGTTTTTATAAAGTCTTGACAGTGTCTTGCTGCCTCTTACTCAGTGTGTGTATTTGAGGAACACAAACTTGTTTTTAATATTTACCAAGCAAATAATTAAGGTAACACGGAAAAAATCATACTCCCATAAGCCACAAATGGTTTTGATGATTAGCTACTGTCCTGGGTGATTCATGCTCATTTTCTCTTCTGTTAGGTTGAATAATTGTGTTGATTAGCTCTGAATTAACTCTGCATTCTTGATAACTTATGCTGACAGGTGCTGATACTTAAATTTCAGATTTAACTTTTTTTTTTTTTTTTTTTTGAGACGGAGTTTTTGCTCTTGTTACCCAGGCTGGAGTGCAATGGCACGATCTCGGCTCACCGCAACCTCCATCTTCTGGGTCCAGGCAATTCTCCGGCCTCAGCCTCCTGAGTAGCTGAGATTACAGGCACGTGCCACCATGCCCAGCTAATTTTTTGTATTTTTAGTAGAGACAGGATTTCACCATGTTGACCAGGATGGTCTCGATCTCTTGACCTCGTGATCCACCCGCCTCGGCCTCCCAAAGTGCTGGGATTACAGGCTTGAGCCACCGCGCCCGGCTCAGATTTAATTTTTAAGTCATGCTGCTCGAATTACATTTGAATCCTATTATTTGAAGTGTATTTAGGTGTGATTAGGAAAAGTAAGGATTATGGCTTCTTAGAAGGCAGCGTGAAATTGACAAATTTAAAAACTAATCAGCTGATAATACTTCAACTCTCACTAACTGATATTTTCTTTGGTTGTTCTAGATGACTGGGAAGACTGTTAAAGCAAAAAGCTCTGTTCCTGTCTCAGATGATGCCTATCCAGAAATAGAAAAAATTTTTCCCTTCAATCCTCTAGGTAGTATCTTTTGCAATTGCGAAAACTTGCTTTTGGCCTTTAGTTTCTTAGTATTCAAATCAGCTGTAACTTGACATGAATATAATATGTGACCAAAAACTATGAGACTGAATCAGGGTTGCTTTGGACAAGTGTACCTGTTGATGGAATTATTTGCAAGGTATCATCTTAGGTCAGGAGGGGAATAGGAACGAAGATGTAGAAGACATTGTTCCTGTCTGTAAAAGCTTATCACCTAGAGGAAGTAAGATGTATTGATGAACATTGAGTGAGTTACTGTGTGGACAGTCTTTCTCACAAGCTTTGTAGAAAGCGAGCTATATGTCAGGTTGAGCAATGCCTGAGAGTACTTTGGTAGGATTATTTCTTTGGTTAGAAAATTCTACATAAAACAGTGAAGACGTGTTTTTCAGATTTCTTCAACCCGTTACATGTATCTGAAGTATTTTCTGTTTTGGAAACAGAAAAGCTTTTCAAGCTTTAATGTATTCAACCATTTGAGGAGAAGCTACCGTGTGCTAGGCACCATTAGATGCTGGACGCACTGTTTAACAAGATGGGCTCTGCCTATGGGAGCCCACAATTTGAAGGGAAAGTCAAATGCTGGACAAGTCAGCTCGCTGTGGTTGTGAGCCAGGAAAAAGTATTATAGGTCAAAGTGGTGCAAAGACCCTGAGGAAAAGGGACTGAAGTGGTTCTAGGAAAAATACAGGCAGAGTGAAGGAGGATACAGGTGAGGTGTGGGGGCAGATCAGGCAGGGCCTTACAGATTGCTGAGCTGTATCTTTTACCCTTTTCTTTAGCCACAGAGGTCATTTATTTTCCTAATATGCATTCAGATTGTTCTGGCTTTTAGAAACTAAAAACATTTCTACAATTAGTATTCTTGAAATGATCTTGCTGCAAGTTTGAGAGTACATCAGGAGGGAAACTGAGGATTGCTGAGTTCAAGGACATATGTAATTAAGTTTTAAAATGATAAAATGTGGTGCATCCATGCTAATAATTACCATTCAGCCATTAAGGATCTTGAAGTAGATTTATGCATATTGATCAAGAATGAAGACCACAATATCCTGTTTGAGAAATGAGATATTGCTAAGTGGCCCTTCAAAATAGTGTAAATTGTTTAACCCACCTACAGTGGATGAAGATGCCTGCTTCCTCCATGTTCACTAAATATCAATGTTTTAAAACTCTAATCTGGATCAGAAAAGAAATATTTCATTATTTTAAATTTACTGTGTGTGTGATGAGCATATTTGATTATTGGCCTCTTACAGTTTTGCTTTTTTTTTGTTAACTTCCTGTTTGTGTTTTTCTTTGATTAAAGAGCTCTTTGTAGATATAATTAGCTCCCTTATATAATGCAGACTTCTTTCCTCTGGAATTTTTTGCCTGTTTATGGTTTCCTTTACAATTCAGTGGTTTTAAGTAGTCACGTATCGTTCAATTCCTTTTTGACTTCTGGGTTTAACCAGGCTTGAAAAAGAGCAGACTAATTTTTTTTTTTTTTTTTTTTTGAGATGGGAGTCTTGTTCTGTTGCCCAGCCTGGTGTGCAGTAGGGCAGTTACGGCTCACTGCAACCTCCACCTCCTTGGTTCAAGCAATTCTCTGCCTCAGCTTCCCTAGTAGCTGGGATTACAGGCACCTGCCACCACGCCTGGCTAATTTTTGTATTTTTAGTAGAGATGGGGCTTCACCATGTTGGCTAGGCTGGTCTCAAACTCCTGACCTCAAGTGACAACCCCCACGCCCCCATGGGGTGGGATTACAGGTGTAGGTGACTGTGCCGGCCCAGAGCAAACCAATTCTTGAGTACTTAGGCTTTAGAGAACTTTCACACCTAAGGACAAAGATAAGAACTATGATTTTCTAATCTTTTGAGAAAACAATCTCCTTGAAAAAATTCAGGATTAAATTATACTTTTGTTACTGTACAGAAAAATTGCTTGTTTTAAATAGTTGCTAAGATGCAGTGACTCATGCCTGTAATCCCAGCACTTTGGGAGGCTGGGGAGCGGGGGTGAGGGGTGGGGGGTTGTCACTTGAGGTCAGGAGTTTGAGACCAGCCTGGCCAACATGGTGAAACCTCCTCTCTACTAAAAATACAAAAATTAGCTAGGTGCGGTCGCAGGTGCCTGTAATCCCAGCTACTCAGGAGCTGAGGCAGGAGAATTGCTTGAACCTGGGAGGTGGAGGTTACAGTGAGCCAAGGTCATGCCACTGCACTCCAGCCTGGGTGACAGAGCAAGACTCCATCTCGAAAAAAAAAAAGTTGCTAAGAAGTAAGGTACTTGGATTTTAAGAAGGAATGTTACCTAACACAGTGGTTCTCAATTTATTTTTGGTTTTACACTCTTAGAAATTATTGAAGACCGCTTTTGCTTATGTGATCTGCTCTTTTCTGTATTAGAAATTAAAACTGAGAAACTTAAGATATTCACTAAATAATCACATTACATTAATAAATTTTTTAATATAAAATATTTGTTTTGGAAAAGTTTTGAGAAGAATGGCATGGTTTATATTTTTGAAAATTTGCTTTATTTGTCTTAATACAAGACAACTGGATTCTCGTTAAATTCTGTATTCAATCTTACATCTGTTTTGGTTAAAGTATACAAAGAAAACCTGGCCTCACACAGATATGTTTTTAAGAGTCTTTTCAGGTAACTGTGGATAGTTTTCTTTGCCACTACACTAAAACTCACAAGTGGCTGTTTCTGAATATATAATTGCAATGGGGAATCCAAAACCATATCATGAGCATTTTGTATTTTGACATTAATTTTGTATTTGACAGTAAAATCCATTAGTCTATTTTGCACTTGGGATGTATCTCTTATCTGTCTTACATTGATCATTCAGAAATATTGATTCACTGAGATATGTAGATATCCCATGTTGAAGTGCTTTATTATACAATATTAAAAGCATTAATATCACAACTGATCTCATCAGAAAAGTCTAAGGCACCTGTCAAGCTAATGACTGCAGATAAGTTTTCTGAAATTCCTTTTTTTGGCCTGACGTAGTGGCTCACACCTGTAATCCCAGCACTTTGGGAGGCAAGGTGGGCAGATCACCTGAGGTCACTAGTTCAAGACCAGCCTGGCCAACGTGGTGAAACCCTGTCTCTACTAAACAAATTAGCTGGGCCTCTAATCTCAGCTACTTGGGAGGCTGAGGCAGGGCAATCACTTGAACCCAGGAGGTAGAGGTCGCAGTGAACGGAGATCATGTCACTGCACTGCAGTATGGGTGAAAGAATGAGACTCCATCTCAAAAAAATAAATTTCCTTTTTTTGTTTTTGGCAAAATTTTGACATATTCTGTCATTGGCAACAAAGACTTAGTTTTCCTTGATGATAGACTTCTTTCATTCCTTTGAGAAAATGTGTGACAAGTATCAGGTCTGAGTGACCATGGAATTTCTTGCAGTTCAAGTAAAAACAGTATTCCAGTAAAAAGTTCTCTAGTTTTAGCTCCCAACTCAGATGATTGCACAAATCATTTTACTTTGAGATAATCGTATTTTGGTATACAGTGGAAGTGCTTTATGGCATAATTCTCATTTTATCATACAGAACATTAAAAAGACATTTTCTCTCAAGGATGGAGAGCTAATAAAATTAATACTTACTGCATGTGGTGAAGTGACATTAAGTGAAACTGGCGTTTTTAAACTACAAGTGGAGAGAGATGGAGAACACAGACTGCTAATATGCTTTATTGTCACTGTCTTGATTTGTGTTGAGGTACCAGCAGCTTTATCCACCATTGCCTTTGTGCCATCATTACAAATGTCAGCCCTGTGGGAAAAGGTGTGAATGTTGTCATGAAAATAGTTTTGACCTCATGGACCACCTGAAAGGGGTCGCAGACCACAAGAGGTCTACAGCTCACGCTAAGAACTGCTGCCCTGACAAAAACTTTCTCTCTGTCACAGACTTTGAGAGTTTTGACCTGCCTGAAGAGCACCAGATTGCACACCTACCCTTGAGTGGAGTGCCTCTTATGATCCTTGACGAGGAGAGAGAACTTGAAAAGCTGTTTCAGCTGGGCCCTCCTTCACCTGTGAAGATGCCCTCTCCACCATGGGAATCCAGTAAGTGAGCAAGTGCCCTTCTAGAAGGGCTGCAAACAATTTGTTTCATAACACTTTCATTACCTTGGGAACAGAGTTGTGCGGGAAGTTAGCCTGTGAGTAATTTCTGTCCTTCAGATGACAAGGATAAGGTTCAGAAAAATAAACTATTCTCAGTTGGTATTACTTTTTAGTCCCAAATGCCCCAGTGCAATTGTTATTCTGGAAACTGGATAGTTTTAGCCACAGCAAATAGATGAATTCATTTGTATCTTCTTAGGCTGTAAGTTGAAGCATATATAATAAACTTGTTTGGACTGATGATTCCATGTTAGATCCAAAGCTAGTGTAAGATCAAAACACCTGTGCTGTAGCGTGGACTGACAATAACTTCTTACTGCAGAAGGTTTGAGGTCTTAGTTTGAACTGTTAGTCAAAGCCATCATTATGTTTTCTGTTTATTCTGTTATGGGATAATTTGTGCTAATAAGTTGCATTAGTGAGATTGTTAGCTCTTTCTTTGGTCTCTAAGAACAATAGAGATTCAGATACTTCTAAAACTTCCTAATGAAAGCCAATTCTGGGGCCACAGACACATTCCAAAAAGTACATATCAAGAGGGGGATGGAGGTGATTCATTAGGCAAAGGGAATAACATGAGTTTTTGATTGACAGCTAATGTCTGTTGATATGAACAATGACTCAAGAATTTGCAGAAATTTAATAAGATTCCTGTTTTCTAGATCTGTTGCAGTCTCCTTCAAGCATTCTGTCGACCCTGGATGTTGAATTGCCTCCTGTTTGCTGTGACATAGATATTTAAATTTCTTAGTGCTTTAGAGTTTGTATTTGTATTAATAAAGCATGCTTTAACAGATTCTTTCTAGTATTGTGATTGCTCTTCCACAGAGGTTACTTACAGCAATATGATAGCTAGCTGAGGTGTTTAACCAGAGTCTACGATGTGACAAGAGATTTGTCTGATTTCTAAAAACTTAAATCCCTTTGGTTTGTTTTAACAGCTTATTTTAGAAGCCACCACTGTTTTCTCTGAAAAGTATCCTTCTCAATGTGTACTTTATTGAGTTTTGTGGCCATTAACGAGTGGCAGTTATTAGATCTCTTAATTAGAAGAGCTACTTCCAACTCATTAAGTATCTGTTGCTAGGCATTCTTTATTGCTAGTTCTACTCAGTTTCTAATGACTTTAATACTCAGTATTGAAAGGCTCTAAATCTTCTAAGAACTCAACCTCCGTGGGATCTTCAATTAGGTTCTTTAAAGATCACTGCAGGTACAGTAATTTACTGATAGTAAGTTCCACACTCCACCTATAGGAAACTGTATGTAGTTGTTTACCTTGTGTTGGATATTAGTATTTGAGAAACATGTTTAATGTTTGACACTATTTTTCAGATAAGACAATGAGGTTCAGAAGTTTATCGATTTGCCAAAGGTGTGAAGAGCTAGAAAATGTTAGAGCTCGGCATTTTGATCTAAATTCTGAGGTTGGAATCAAAATAGAGATCGCAAATGGTTGCTCATAGGTTTTCTTTCTGAGGGTGGTGGTAGATGATATTTTAAAAACCTTAAACATTTCCACTATGTATAATCCCACTATTTCACCAATCTGGCTTTGGAGATTCTGTTGAAGAGAAATGTGTCCATAGTAGACCCTGTTTTTTTTTTTTTTCAATACTTGCTGGGGCTGGAGAGGTGGATTGCTGGCTGCTGCCTTTTAGGTGGAGTGTAGGCTTTCATCTCACAAACCCTGCGTTAAATGGCCTTAGTGAGAACTGAAGTGAACCTTTTACTTTTTGTCTTCTCGGACCTAGCCTACTTAACTCACTTGACTTGCGTGGGCCATGTATGGACCTGAATTTGACCCTTGCTTGATGCTAAGTTATATAGGAAGTCTTTCCCTTGATATATCAGTAGCTTCTATGGTCAAGTTAGAATGTGAACCCTTTGCCATTATTATTGGAGGAAGCTGAAAGGTATTAGGCATGAAATACTAAGAACACCTACAACCACTTATCCTGACTTGAAAACTTTTTACCTTCTAAATATAACTGAATCAGTGTGACTTTCCAGAATTAGTAGAAAGGCAGACTTCTAGGAGAAGATAATACCGTAAGACAACTAGGGCACTTGGCTTTAGGGGAGAGTATTAGGTTTAGCATCCTCAGGTAAAATGGCTGCTAAGAAAAGCAAAGTATAGGTTGGACACAGTGGCTCGTGCCAGTAATCCCAGCACTTTGAGAGTTTGAGGTGGGAGGACTGCTTCATCCGAGGAGCTTGAGATCACCCTGGGCAATGTAGTGATACCCTTGTCTCTAAGAAATTAAAAATAATTAGCTGGGTGTGGTGACATATGCCTGTAGTCCTAGCTGCAGGAGGTTGAGGCAGGAGGATTGCTTGCGCCCAGGAGTTCAAAGTTACAACTTAAACAGCCATAATCATGCCACTGTACTCCAGCCTGGGTGGTAGAGTAAGATTGTCTCAAAAAAAAAAAAAGTGTGGTAATGAATGGCTTCATACAAACTGAAGCTTTGGAAAATTGTCTTTTGTGGTAGGGGGAACCAACGGCTGGGAGCAAGGGGACCAGTCAGTCCCTTACCAATTAATTGCTGTCCTCTGGGTTAGAACTGAGCATGGAGGGATCTGATCTTTTCATCTGCTGTTAATCAGATTACAATGTGCATAATGTGTGTTGAGACTGAGAACTTGAAGCAGATGCTCCTCCATTAATATAGATAATTTGCATCTTGTGGGGGTTGTTGCTATTTGGTTAAATTCTGACACTTTTGAAATAAGACTATTTGTACCTTTGTAACTAAGCTTTCTACCTTTCTCTGCACCACCTCTGAGCCTGCCTCTCTCGATTCTGTACCTTCTCAGAGTAGGAGCTAACAGTCAGGAATGCTGTTATCTTGCTACCATTTCTTCTTATCACAAGTTGTATTTTCCTACTTCTTTGCATGCCAGCCATGGATTTTACTTTTTTTCTTGCTGGGTGTTTTTACATTTCTATTAATATTCTTAACCTTTGTTCTGGAGTATGGGTAAGTTACCTAGATGCAATTTGATTCATTTGAGACTTGCCTTTAATGTTAGGCAACACCAGGGCAGCCTTTAGTCCAGGATTAATTTCCCCCTACTACTGAAGTGTCAGACTCTTAGGACTCTGCTTGCTGCTCCCTGAATTATGAGGTTTTCCAGTGTGGCTATTCCTGGCCCTGTGTGAGCTCCAGGAATTCTTCCCTCTGATTCTTCCAGCTAGTTTTTTCATATGCATATACGGATCAGTGCTCTCCTGAATATTACCGGAGACCTTCTGCAAATTTCCAGGGTTCTCTCTGTGCAACTCTGCTCTCCAGTGCTCTGCTCTGCAAACTTGGTCTGTCTAGACCTGACTCTCTGTTGTCTTTTCAACTCAGGAAATTCACTGGGCTCTGCCTGCCTACCTGTCTTCCCTACTCTGAGGCCTGGAAACTCAAAAGTAGTCAGCGAGGACAGTTATCAGTCTCACCTCATTTATTTTTTATTTATTTTTTGTTTTTTCTTTTTGTCACCTCATTTCACATTCCTCAGGCATCGCTGTCCTTTGTCGCCTGATGTCCACTCTTTGGGAAGTCCTTGTTTCATATATTTTGTCTTGTTTTTTAGTTTTAGGCAGGAGAGTAAATCTGGTCCCTGTTACTCCATGCTGGTTGGAATTGAAAGTTTCTTCCAGGTATCATTTTTTAAATTGAGGTAACATTCACATAAAATTCACCATTTAAAAATATACAATTTAGTGGGTTTAAATACATGCAGTGTACGCAACTAAAACCACTGTCTAATTTTAGAACACTTTCATCACCCCAAAGTATAAACCCATGCCCATCAAGCACTCATTCCCCATTTCATTTACTTTGTAATGTTGTCCCTGTGCCACCAGGAAGAAGTCTGAGTTGTTCAATGTGGCTCCTATGGCCTTGTGGTGGCTCCTTGGGGGTGTCATTTTTTTTCTCCTGATTTGTATGGCCCACACCTGTCCATCTCTAGTACTCCAATGAGATGCATTTCTTACCAGAAGCCTTTTCTGATGCCCCAAGATCAGGCTCTGTGTCCCCTAATTTGCTCAATTAGCCCCAGACCTTAGCTTTTTCCTTACACTGACTTGCTGTATCTGGCCCTCTCCTCAGTTACGCTGGGAGCTGGATGAGGTGTGTCCTGTGTACTGTTGTATTCTCTGCCCAGCATGTGGCAGGTGCTTAGGGACTTGCTGAAATGAGTAAAGATGTTACCAGTCCCTGAGGATCCAGGTTCCTAGAGACCCAATGGCTGCACTGTACCCACTGTTTGCATCACACAGCATGAGGGCCAGAGAGAGAGTGGTGGGGGCAGGCACAAGCCTAGGAGGTCAGCTTCTCCCACCCTAGACAGCTCCTGGTCACCTGTTGATCTGCACCCCGCCAAGCCCAAGTATAACCTGCTTACCACATAAACTAGTTTTCTTAACTACTACCAATTGTGTTTTGTTGACCTCTCTTCCCTTCTGGGTGTTGGGTGATGCTGAGCAGCATTCAGACAGATTTCATAGATTTCCAATTAATTTTGATTAAGATTAAACTTTGCTTATTTTAAAATGAGGTTTGAGCCTATTTCAGGCTCTTATCCCTCTCCCCCAGCACAGGCGAGGGCTGGGCAAAAGCCCATGTGATGCTTTGCTCGCCACACACATCCCCTCTCCCCTTCTGGCATTAGGACCCTTGTGGGGGCTTAGTCCAGCCCCAAGCCTGGGAGGACGGCTGGAGGGAGAAGAGTCTGCTCGTGTGACAGGCCACCTGTTGTTTATGGGGAGTGTGCTGGCTTTGTTCTGGCTATTGTACTGTGTACGATGCTGGTGGCCTCTGTTCATGGGGAGGTTCTTATGTAGAGAATCACCCTCTCCTCCTGAGGACCCTGTCCCTCCTGAGAATGGCAGCTCTTCCCACACCTTTCCCAAGTGGGTCCTCCTGTTGCTTGGTCGAGGCACTGTTCATGGCCTCCTACCTTCCATTATTAATCACTAGGATCTTTTCCATCCCCTTTGAAGGCTGCAGAACCAGGATGGGGTAAAGATTTCCTTGCAAGCCTGGGTACTCCAGCAGGTGTCCCACCATGAGAAATCTCTGGACCAGGAGTAGGTACCAATCTTCAAGTTCAAGTCAGTCTCCACATGCCAGTGATCCTCCCCTTCTCCCCATAGTGCAGTGAGAAGACTGAAAAGGACACACAAATACTCGCAGAACGCTCCCTCAAGAGCCCTCGCTCTCGCCACTCTTGGTTCTGTTGGTGTCACCAGCGTGGACTTACCTGTTTCTTCTGCATCTCAGCAGATGTGCATCTGGGGGTGAGAGGCCATTCTCCCCTTCCTGAAGATTCCTATCTTTATATGTTCATTTAAAGGTTCTCATGGCTGCAGGAAGGATAGGAATGACTCTAACACTATGGACACAGCTTTTCTCTGCAGATACCCCAAAAGCAGACCACCTTATTTATCAGGACTCTTTCTGCTCTTGATGATTGATGCTCCTAGGGCTGACATCTCTTGGCAAGCCCAGAGCTAACTTTAGAATATGCTACACTCAGTGGCTTTGGGGACCTTAGCTGCATGTGCTCAAGCAATAGGAACAAATAAACAGCAGATACGTCTCTCCAGCCAGAGTAAACTTGGATGAGGGTCTTATTTATCCTTGCAGTCTCCAAGTCCAGTGTCTTGTCTGGAGTAGACGAATGATCAGTTTGTGAAATTGAATCACAGCAGGAAGAAGGAGTGCAAAGTGGCCCCCTTTATCTCTTTGTGCATAGGCTCCCTTCTGAAGAGGACTCTTTTTCCTACAAGAGGAG